TGTAATATTGTGCTACGAATTTCTAGACTCACTAACGATGCCGACTACGATGTTGGCGAAGCGTCTGGGAATGTACAACGCCCACGGTCCTACTCTAGAATTGAGGATGCATACAATGGACTCCGGACTAGGTGCCTTCCTCTAAGTCTTCCTACCAATATGACCGAGTTGTGAAAACAAGGTCAAACGACTTCAATATTAATACTTATTCAAAATTGGCATAATATAGTAAACTAAGAAAAGGTTTGTCAGCAACACTGAATTAAAGAGAGCTGCTAGGTTCAATAATAAATTTTCATTCAATTTATTTTAGTGGCGCATTCAATTCGTATGCGATTTAGGGTAAAGTCAATCTTTAAGTAGCAAAGTGTGATGGACTCCCGCAGATCATACTTTTCTAACTCTACTTTTATTTTACTTTTTGCCTGATATCTGTTTTATTCATACTAAATTTGAATATTTCACATATGCAGAAGCTTTTTTATATCATTCATATGGTTACAGTTCCATATTAGTCTGGGACGAAATCTCCCCTTATAATAACAAGTCTTGCATTGATATGACCCCATTAATCTTCAACCGAACTAAAATTCAACTTTCATTACCCTACATAAATGCCCTGCTTGTAATCACATTATTCATTATCGTTTACAAATTTACTGTCACATTCAGAGGATTAGAACTCGAATAGGCATTTTCAGCCAATATTGATAAACGATATATATTTATTCAGGAACGATATATATATTTGTCTATATTTGGAGGCAAAGTACTGAGATTAGTGTAGAACGTGATTTGGCACTGAAATATGAGGATATATCACATATGAGGTGTATTTACCCCATTTCATTTACGGTGATATATCAGTCCATCTTTAGTTTGCAATAAATTTCATATAGCCCTGCCTTCTCAAAATGTATTCTCATCCAGGCATGAGTTAACTCTAGTTTCGGCCCCGCCTATGTCTCATCAGCTACCCTAGCGAGTGCAGTGTATATTCTAGATAGGGTAGTCAATATGCCACAAGGCCACGAGTGCCACACCAAAAAAAGCAAAAAAAGATTGGGACAGGATGAATTAATTAACAGCTCTCAACATAATTAATTGGAAGATGAAAATACATTATATCAAGTCTAGGTATAGTCCAAGTATTTCAGTCTTATATGCTTTCTTAGTACTATATTCCTAATATATTTAGCTAAAATCTACATATTCATTTTGAATTGAATTTTTGCATTGCAAGTCTTTAGGTGTCGTTTATATCTAGTTACTTATAACTAATAAAGTTAAATTCTGCTTACAGTTCAATTGATAGGTAATGGGAGATAAACGAATGCTAGATAACTCTAAGCACTTAGATGCTAGTAGCGCCGGTCCTATTGTTAAGATTATAAAGGCCAATTTTTCCTCTAAAAATAAATCTTGAACTGGGATCAAATGGTGAGCAAATATAGTTCCCGATTTAAAGCCAGATTGTCTCGTACACTTTATATTAGCTTATTAAAATATTCTAATGCAATTGTCTTTAGCATGCTATAAGATCAATTTACATAGCTCTAGTTATAAATTGAACAAGATGGGAGGGGGGCTAACTTCCGATTATAGCTTACTTCTTCAAGTGCATCCGTCTTCACATATATTCCTTCGCATGAGACATTCGTGTTTTTGTTATTAAATGTTTTTAACTTCATCTTTTCACTTAGCCTTATAAGTAATCCCACAAAGCTGCTTCTATATCTGTCCCTTAGCCAGAACCTTTCAGTTTTATGTCGCGATGTCTCAAGCATTGAGAAAATCCAAAACTCTCAAAGTTTTTGCAAGCAGGCCTTGCCTGGAGTTTTGTCATGACATGCTTAAAACCACAAGTAATGACAAAAAGCCTCCAAATGTGTAAAAAAATGTTTTTACACCATAATTTAAAGGTTACATGAACAAGGACTCTAGGTGAACTATACTCCTAGCTCAGCTTCACTCTTAAACTAAGAATAATCGTTATTCCTTCGGAATTTACGGGCATAAGCTGAGCTCGGTGGTTACATCAGAGCCATCTAGTGATAAACACTAAGCGCCAGTCCAATATTCTGTCCAATAGAGGTTTATCGGTCAAATTGTCCGCTTGTAAGGATCACGAGCTAAAATTCGTATCATATACAATGCTTAATATCCCAACACATATAGAATAAATTTAAAAGTGTGTAAGTTGTTTCAGGCACATGAGAAAACACTGGAGACCCAATACTATAAATGACCTTTACAAATGCATCAATGTAGTATTAAAAATGGAGTGACTAGAAGGAATAAAATAGAAATTGCAAGGTTTCAAGTTGAACGCTGGAGAATATGACAATAATGATTCTAACAAGTTTCTGAAACTTTTCGCTGTCTAAATAAAAGAAAAGCAACAGAGCACAAGGGATAGATATAAAACAAGAAAGTGAGAAGTATTAAAACGAGAATTGGGACAGATCAGCCGATAAAACGAATTACTGAAAGCAGGCAAAGCTCACTATCATTACACTAAGTATACAACTATAGCTAAACTATCAATACTGTAGGAATGCTAACCAGCATAAAGATAGTTTAGTTAACGATTGTACATTTTTATCAAGGTAGAACAAAATGCATTACAGCCATAATGTAGGCTAATCAATTTGAGCGAATAAATTCACGTGAAATTTTCAAAAGACCGTTTAATATTTTTTAAGGCTTCTAATCCGGCTCTCCATTTGGCCTATCTGTAATTGCAAGGTGAACGTTTGGATCTTGTTAGTTCATCTGAAGAATAAGCAATTACATTCAAGTAGTCTTATTGGTAAAAGTAAAATAAAGATCAGGTACACAAGAGGGAGTTTCCGTCTCGTCTCAATGAATTTATTGCCATCCAGATTAAGGGAAATATAAATTTAAATTCCTATACACTGATGGTCGAATTTAAATTGAAGAAGAGATCATCAGAACGAAAACGCTAATTACACAAAGAAAAACCTGGAGAAGACAAGGATTTAACGAGGAACGCATATATTTGCAAGAGGAAGATAAACAGCAAGAAGGAAATAAGAACAAATTCTGTAATGCAGAAACTAGAAAGATAAATGAAGTATAAATAAGTGAAAGAATAAATTAATGGATTAGTCGACGGATGTATATGGCGAAATTGATTGAGATATGTTGAATAATTTGTGCGTTCGGAACGAGGTGACTATGTAAACAAAATCAAAATATTACAGCTGAATTAATTTTGTACCCCATTATTGACAAAAGTATTTCTTCAATATAATGAGAAGATCGGCCCAGCAAAGGGATAGAGTTTCTGCTTGCATCACAGAGTATAAAGCAGAAAATATCCAAGACGTAAAAGAAAATAACTTGTCAGTTTGCTAAGGGAAGGCAGATCATTGCGAATCCCTCTACTGGAGCCAAAGGAAGGGCTCAGATTCATACATGAGCTTCAGGTGGCAAGTCTATGACCTTTCTAACGGCCGCTAGCGGGTCGAATAGCATAAGTGTTCGCTACTGAGGCGGCAGCGACGGCCGCAGCTGCCGCTGCCGCATAGGATGGGAAAGATGGTGATGATGACAGAGGCCTCAAATGGGCTGAAGATATTGCGGTAGAAGGCGGCGGATGTGGAGTACCCGCAAGCGTTGCCAAGGCTGTGGCTGCAGTGGAAGCGGATTGGTTATTAATCAAGCCTGATAGTACCGCCAGTCCAATTTGATGCAGGGAAATTTGTTGTTGCTGATAATGGGAATGCTCTTGATGAGGCTGAAAGTGAGAAAGAGCTTGGATTGCCGAAATCTGTCCGGGTGGTTGCTGACTTTGGTCAGTAGACGCAACTCCTGCAGCCGCGAGAAGAGGGCCTATATTCGAATGACTAGGCTCGTTTGGATTGCTTGAGTACTGAGAGGGAGCCTCCTGAAGTAATGACGAGGCTAGAAGTTGGACGTAAGTTGATTAATAAACAAGGTTGGAGGAGACTTATAGGGAGGCCACTAGAAACAGGGAAGGATTAGTTGAAGTAGCTCACTTAAGAGTACCTAGAAGCTTGAAAAAGCTTACATGTTAATCTTGGTTAAATTTGCCTCTGTAATGCAATGAGAACAAGATTGGATCTCTACTCAGGTTGCATCCATCCTCCTGTCTACACATTATATTTTGTGTCTGCCAGATAATCCTTTTCAGGAAGCGAATATCACTATTTTACCTTAAAAATAAAGATTATTCTTCTTATTTTTCGTTTTATAAGCAGAGCTTAAATACTACCAGTAAATCAGTTATATGAGATGTATTAATACTATGTTATTTAAGGCGATAAAGGCCTGGTAGTTGAATTTTCACACAAAGATATGAGTAGAGCTGACGTTTCCATTGAATTTCACATAACTTTGCTTTCCCAAAAGTTCTACTTATATCATTGTAGAAACATTCTATTACCAGTCCTTCATCACCTTAAATGAAATTGGGTGAATACATCTCATCGAACTGATTTACTGGTAGTTTCATAACTCTGCTTATAAAACAAAAAATAAGTAATGTAGTCGATCATTGTAGCAAATATAACTTTGCATCATCGACAATCCTACCAAAGAATGTGTTATAGAAAAAAACCTGGCCTTTCTTGAAATTTGCATCTGCCGCGTGACCTAAGGGCACTCGCGGCAATGTGGCGGAGTGGTTAGCGTGTCGAGATTACACGTTGCACTGTCATGGTTTGACTCCCGCTGAGGTTGTTGATAAGATCTAGGCGAGGTCGAAACTGCAGTCCACCATGAATGACAACAACTTTTGTGGATGCAAGGCCAAGTAAAATTCAACGGAAACATCGGGACTACTCGTATCATTATTGGAAAATTCAACTACCAGACTTTCATCACATTAAATGATATAGGGTGAAAACATCTTAGATTATTTTTCTTGTTTCCTTCTGGTTTTCGAGACTACTAGTAAATCAGATATATGAGGGGCATTCACCCTATTTTATTAACGATGGTAAGGCGAATGGTAGTAGAATTTTCCAACAATGATATGAGTAGACCCTTTGGGGAAGCAAGGCTATTTGAAATTAATTGAAAACGTAAGGTCTACTCATATCATTGTTGGGAAATAAAACTACCAGTCCTCTTATCACGTTAAGCGAAATTGGGTGAATAACCCCATATATATGATCAGCCGGTAGTCTCAAGAGACTATTTAGAAACGAAAAATAAGTACTGTAGTCGACTGCTATAACCAATACAACTTGCTTAATCGACATTCCCACGGGGGAATATGATATGGGAAAATACCTGGCCTTCCTTTTGATTCACATTAGCCCTGTGACCTAAGTGTAGTGATCAGCGTGTCGATATTAGACGCTGCACTGTCATGGTTAGAGTCCAGTTTGGGGTGTTGATAAAACATAAGCCAGGTCGAAACTGAAATCCACCATTGATGAAAATACCTTTTTGGAAAAGCAAGGCTATGCGAAATTTAATGGAAACGTAAGGTCTACTCATACCATCGTGAGATAATTTAACTATCACTCCCCTTAAAACTTCAAACTAAATAGAGTGAATTCTCCTCAAATACTTGTGTCAGCAAGAACTGAAATATGATCATGTTCGCATAACGGCCTGCTTAAACACAACTCATCCAGACTCCTCTGCCATAGTATTCATAGTAATTTTAATCGTCGAACAATGGACCTAGTATTTTCCACTCACGCCCACTCACGTCTCTCGCCACTTTCTATCCCCACCCTGGTATAACTGATACAGATAAGACTCTGACCTTTAAATATTTAAGCGACTTCATTTAATTTCTGTCCTTATTCCCTATGAACCTCGATAATGTGCTTATTTGATTACTATCCATCATATCCGTTTTACTCAGTGTTATTTTCTGGGCTTTGTCTCAAACGTTTGATATCATGCATACTGTTGTCTCACCAGGCAGAGCCACGAGGATCTAATTCTCAAACATGTTGTCATCACTCTAGCGCTATAGATAGAACCACCACAATCATTAAAAAAAACTCAGTTTGGCTTTGTAGTGAGAACATGTCTGTCGTCTCCACAATATCTGAAATAGTCTATAGTCAAAATGGCTTTACTTTACTATTCCAAATTCCAACTTCTTATGATAAATGAGGACATCCGTGTCTTTAAACCAAGCACCCAAATATGATAGTTGACTGCACCCACTGAAATCTTCTTCGTTTTATTTTTGATTATCCCTCGCCCTTGTCCTCTTTGCGATTCCTTTTCCTCTGATTCAATATAGATTTTTAATCCAGAACTCTCAATGTTGTTGATTTTGCTGTTCACTGCTTTACTCCGAGTTTGCTTAAGCAATAAGCAAATTTTTCTCTAATTCTGCCTGCTGTTTAGTAAAGATATCGATGGCCTCCCCATTCTTCATTTTCTTTATATTTTCTTCACATGGGGCTTTCTGTCCTGCCGCAATCCAGTTGAACTCGAATTCTATCTATGAAATATGTTTTATTAGTTAATGGTGAATTGTCTACTGTCTTTTATTCTGGCTTTGCAAATATACATCGTATTACGGTCGCTACATGATCTGCGATAAGCTCCCGTACAATAGTGTTTTTTTAACCTCCCCATGATGCGTGCGCGAGCTTGTGAAGTCTATTAACTTTTCTTTCATGATCACCTAAATATGCTTAATTTAATTTATATGTAAATGTGAGAAGCGAAGAAATGGTGCATTTAGATCTCAAACACTTTGGATACAGCGTGTTTGCAGACAACTTCGTGTTCAGTATATGTCCAGCCTCAGAGCTAACCAGCGCGGAAGTTCAGAAGACGTCTTCGTAAGGCAATTTCCACGAGCCTTAGAATCAGGACTATGAATAAGCTAATGCTGCTTGTTAATAATGAGCATGGATCATCGAACAAACTGGCGAAATTTATATGCTCAATGATTAAGAGGTTAAAAGACAAATTCTCAAGCACAGCGAAGAA